TCACTCTCCGGCAAAACGAATTGACACCTCGAATTTGAAGAAGTTTCTCTTTCTGTTGAATCTGTTCAAAAACCACACACACAATGGCAGCAAGAAACGCAGACTCTATGACCAACGCCCAGGGCGAATTCATGCCTCACAAGCCCCGCGATGAACCCATGGAGAAGCATGGTGTAAGTATCTCTTTGACATACCTGGGACCTGAACCACTCCACGACAACCCTTTCCAGACCACTGACATATTATTCTCCCCGGTTTCCAGCACCAAGTAGGTCAAAAGGTCTCGCCGGCGGACCACGCCCCCGAATTCTCAGCCAAAACCCTACCACCAGGCACGGCTCCCGCAAACGCGACATTCCAACCCAACCCAACGGGCGAAGTGCCCGGACAAGCCTTCAACGACAACGTCGACCGCTCCCACGGCAAGGAAGGCGTGCGCACCGACCCCCTGAGCACCTTGTCCGGCGCGACCTCCGCAGATGTGCACCAAGGTCTCGGCCACCCGGGCCAGGGCCAGACGTCGACAGAGCTCCGGCACGAAGGACACCATACGGCCAGTAAAGCGACTTCGGGCCCCGAGGGCGCCGGGGCAACGGGCGGCTCGGGCCTCCGCGACCCCAGCGACGTGAACAGCGAGTTCCGCCGCCTCCAGCAGGAAGGCGATCACCCTCGCGGACCCGTATCAGGACACAACGTGAGCATGACAGGCGCCGAGGCAAAGGAACCCGTGTCCGCAGAGTTTGTCGCCGCGGAGGGTGGCAAGGCCGGAGAACACGCGGGATACTCCAAGGCCAAGGGCACGACCGGAGTGCCTGACAGGGGCGCTGGGAATCCTCGCGAGTAAAAATGAAAAGCTAAAGACATGCTATGATTTTTGGTCTATGGGGAGGCTTTCCACCCAGCATGGGATGGGTTTCGGTCACGCATGAAACATTGTTGTCACTGTCCATACACAGGACAGGACAGTCAGGGGCAGAGTCATCACACATTCGAGTTGATTGGAAGAGAGAATACGCCACCAATATCGAACAAATAGCATCGGAGAAGTTGGGGACACCATAAACCATCCCTCTGAATAGAGATAACCACTAGGGTGTATCTCATCAAGTCGCATCCCATCCCATCCCATCTTATCAGGCGACAAAACGACAAACCCCAAAAACGGGGAGGACTAGTGTTGACACCGGCGTCCCCCGTCCCTCAACCCTCTGTAGAAACGCATGGGATATCACATATCAGATAATCCCGTCCATAGATCACACCTGAAAATATAAAAAAAAATCTATTGGACGATTCCATGCTCGAAACGTCTCTTCTTGAACGTAAAATGCCCACAAAAACTAGACCAGAACACAAAGAAAACGAGTTAATCATGGGATCCGGAAACAGTCTAGCACTCCTTCGGCACAGACAGAGTGATGAAGCCGAATAGGCTTGAGAAACATGTCCTAGGACCACCGTGTTTGTCCTATCGATCATATATACATACCCACAGGTTCATGATTGTCAGTCAATCCAATCTCCGGAAAACACGCACATTCGACATAGAGTGATATCACCCAGACCATCGCAATGACGAAATTGTGTCCTCAGTTGTGTGCGTGGCTAATCAATCACCAGCCTCTCGTCCACACCTTCTCGCCCTTCTGTCACTTTGACGACTCCATTCACCGTCCCATTTGCACCTCTTGCCACGGTGCTCCCTTGCACCACCTGGACTCCGCTCATCTGCTTGGTTCTGTCCTCGTAGCTATCGACCTCAACTCCTTGAATCAAGGCTTGGCTCACTCCCTCCAAGCCCGCCACAAACACACAAAGCAGACTGCCAATCACAAAGTGACTAATCGTGGTGCCGATGTCTAGCCAGCTCCCCTCGTCCTTGACCATCCAGAAAAAGTTCAGGGTCATGACATCGCTAATGCTCATCACCGTCATAAACAGCGCCGAACTCTGTAGCCCGAGTCTGCGATTGAGAATCCCCAGTGCCGCCGAGATGATGGCAAAGGGGACCATCAACTTGAAGAGTAGGAGAGCACCCTGCGAAAAGGGGTCAAAGATCGGGATGAGGCGGTAGACGGCATCTAGACTGAAGCTGGAAACCGAGGCGATGTTACCGGTAGAGAAGAAGGCGGATTGGAGAAAGAAGAGGAAGAAAAGGGCACGACGGAGGTCCGTGAGTGCAAGCGTGCGAAAGGTCTGGTCGGGATGGAGGTTCTCGGATGTCTGGGATTTGGAGGTTATGGTGATGCCATTTGCGGAGGGCATGGAGTCCGAGGAAGCGTCTCGTGGTTGTGGTGGCCCATGGAGCTGAATGGCGTGCTCGAGACGTACCCATGTAAGTAGCGTGGCGCAGAAGGCAAAGTAGAAGAGACCCTCATACGATATGGTAAGAAGGACAAACGACGGTGCGAATGTCAGGAAAATAATGACGAGACGATGAAGGTAGTGTTTGTTGGGTGCTATCCGGTGCACGAAGGGGAGGATAACAGAGGCAATCAGAACGAGCCAACCGATGACTTGGTTTCCGAGAGGCAGCCCTTTCTTTGCCTGAAGTGAGGCGACACTTGAGCGCGTGACGATGATTGTCAGCCCAATAATACCGATCTGAAGACCCATGAGAACTCGAGATAGTAAATTGGGTTCTGCTTCCTGAACTCGCGATTTCGACAGCTTGGTGATATCGTGCTCAAAAGCAAGATAGAGAACGCCGGCCCCAAACATAAGTGAGCCTCCTGCAGTAATCATGTTGGAACTTTCAACCTTGACCACTCGGAGAAGTGTAAAGGTGCTCAGAACCAGGCAGCCCGTTGCCCATGCCAGCACGATTAATTTGTTTGTCTTGATGAAATCCACACCATATGCGGCCGGAAAGACCGCTGCAACAAGGTAACACACGGTGAAGATAATGCGATGAAAGTATGATTGCACCTGTAAGGGTCAGCGATCAGATTCATGATAGAGTTGATTCCTGTCACAGACCAGAGCTTCAATAACGAACAAATACAGCAACACCTGGATGAGAAGAGAGATAGATCGAGAAAAGCTGCGAACATGGCCGAAAAGGACACCGACACCGGAAAAGAGAGCCTTTCTCCTGGCAAACACTTCCTCCCAGAAGAAGACTGGGAAGAAGGCATAGGCGTAATATGTTACAGGCGACTTTTCAATGACGAAGAATGAATACAACACAACCAGGAGAGACGAGAATACCATGGTCGTGCCAAGCGTCCTCTCATCTTGTACCGCACCATGAAGGACATGAAGGTCAATGACGGTCGTGATTGCATAGGTAATCCAGCCGAGATATCCAATGGTAATAAGTGCTCGAAGAAAAAGCCAATCATAGGTTTGCAAGTACCGAAGGCCCTGGAGGGCGTGGTCGAAGAGTTCCGAAGATAACTGGATGGCTACCTCATGCTGGTTATTGTCGATTGCCGATTCGATGGCGGCAATTCGATCAGCCACAGAGGCGTTAGCTTGCGAAAAAGGGGGAAACGGTTGAAAATTAAGTGAGGTGGCCTTCTTCTGTTCCTCCTTGACTCTGTACATCTCAAGGACTTGCTTGGTGTTCACAAGCGACGCACTAGCTTTCTCCTGCGTCGATGCAGCAAGATAGGACAACGGCAGCTTGCCGACAGAGTTGACTGGAAACTCCAATCCCGCCAGGTACGCCATGAGCGCAGCAACATCGGCTTGGTCAACATCATGGCGTTGCACATGGTCAAGACCCCAGTCGGAGGAGAGGCTGTCATGGCCGGGAGCGTTCTGATCTGGGAAAAGCTGGGGACGGGCCACGCCGGCACCCCATACGATCAAAGGGGTTCTTGTATTGTCGGGATGGCCGTCTCCATGACTCCCCCAGTCGCTCATCCCGTGGTCCGCCGTGAAGACGTACGAGGTTTCCCCATCGGCGTAGAATTCCTCAATCAAATTTGTAATGGCCTCAACACCCTGGTCGACAATCTTGATGTTGTGAAGGTATTCTTTGGAGTATGGCCTGTAGGAGTGGCCGGTCGTATCCAGGCCAAGCAGATGCAAGAACAAAACAAGTTTGTCCTCTCGAAGCATCGCATCAAGAGTGGCATTTGTGCTGGCAGATTTGAAAAGATCTTTAACCTTGTCGAACACCCAAGTATCCAGTGCTGTGGCATCTTGCGAGTAGTCCTCGAATTCTGCAGCATAGTGATCGGCATCAACCCGTCCTGGTACTGCCCCTTCTTTGAACATCGGAAGAATATCCGGACTGCCCCAACTCCATGTGTGCCGACTTCGGTTGAAAACGCTGTCGAAATCAACAGGGTTCAGCTTCCACCCAGTCGTCACCGCAGAAACGTCTTCGTAGAGACCGGCTATGAGTGCGACGTGACCAGGCCGCGACTCTGTAGGGACCCTTGTATGGGAGACGCCGAAGGTACCGTGCTCAAGTACTCGAGATCGCAGAAAAGGGGCAAGAGGTCGCGGTGTAGGGTCGAAATTGTCTGGCTCGGGAGGAGAAGGGTCTGGAAAGGATTGAAAGGCCTTGTCAGCGCGCAAACCGTCCCCAACAAACAATATGAGCCGTCTTGACGGAGCATGATCTTGCTGCAGAGGAATTGATCTCATGCCATGAACGATCGGGCTAACAAAGTAAATGTCGAAGATGGAGTAGAGATAGACCAGATGGAAGACGATGGCGACAGCCAGAAAGCCTCCGCGGCCGATCCTGGCCATGTTGGGCGTGAAACTAAGGAAAAGAGCGACTTGGGTGAGACAGTACCGATACCATCATAAATCAGCATAAAGTGCAATCGTGATTCTTTCGTGTCGACGTCCTCGCATCTCTCAATCCCTCAATTCAGGGAGAATGAGGACAAATAATCACAAGAGGCAAGTGCGCCGAGTTTCGACGCCACAACGACACGTGGGGCCTCAGAGCCTCGTGGGTGGGCACCGCGAATGGTTGGTAGTACTCGGTACAAAGAACACAAGGAGGGCCAGATGGCGTCTTGATACAAGTCTATCTAATCGTCTTCAATCAGGTAGTTGAGCCAGAACTTCAGGCCCTCTACACCTTCTTCCCGACAGAGAGCACCTCTCTCCTCTGCCATCTCGAGTTCTTCGGCTGCAACACCCAGGCTCCAGCCAAACTGTACAGCTGCCTGTTGTGCCGTTACTCCAATGCCATACGCCGACCTATCCCATGCCTCTGATGTAGCAGCCGTTGAGATTTTTAGTGACGTGAGCCACCCTTTGATCTGGCCAACCGTTTTCTCGTCACTTGCATTCCGCTGTTGCACCACCAAGAGTCCACTCTTGAAGCGTCGTAGCTTGATAGGCAGGCCCAGCTTTTCCCATGCTTCGGCCGCTTTGTGGAAATCAGAGGGGCTGACTAGTTCCACCCCATTCTGACTTCTGTTGAACGTTGCCCATAAGTCAACCAGACTCATTGTGCCGCCTTGACGTCTCAATATTCCCCGTTGGTCGTCCGTAGCATATTCGGCCAAGTTTCTTGCCAGTTCGGAGATGTAGAGTGCAGAAGAATTGTCCCCGATCATATCTCTTGTTGCCAACATGCCGAGTGCCGCCGCTGACTGGGAGACGAGAGGGTCGGACGAGACTCCGGGGACACCTGTTTGTGACCCTGACTCAACAGCAAACCGCTCTGCCAGCGCAACCACATCTTTCGCTGATGCCATCAGAGCCTCCAGATCTTCAAAAGCATTGCCCAGCACCGCTTCGTTGATCTTGCGGGTCTGGAGTCCGCGCTGCTCAAGGCCGGCAATGCCAACAGCCACAGCTCGTGATTCAGATGACGGCAAAAGGGCGGGATTTCCAAGTGGTGTCGGGGAACGGTCAAGATCAGGCCGTGGAATGGGTGGCGCATCTTGTAGCAGCCACTTTCTCTGTATCATTGCGTTTTTAAGTCGCTCATAGAATACACGATCACCTCCATTTCGAAAAGAAAACTTCACACTTGGGGTGTCATGCTCTTCCTCCAACGAAAGTCCCGAGATTTCAGGTCCTGGTGATTCAGACCGACTCACCGAATCTTCAAGTGCTTTTCTCTGGATGGAGTCTGGTACTGGGAGGGGTGCAGAGCATAATTCGCAGATGCGCATCCAAGGATGATTGTGAAATGTACACCGGGGACAGGTGATATTCTCTGATGAGACCTCATCCCCATAGGACTGGGTGTGGGAATCAGGTGTGAGATTGATTGACTCGGGTCTGGGTGCTGGAAGGCGCTTTGCATTCGCTGTAACAGCTGCCTTGAGTACAAGAGAAAAGGGCGGCTTGATCCCGCAAGCCAGGCAAGGCGGTAGTGGAAAAGATTCCGTCGCGATTGTAGGATCAAAGTTAGACGGCACTGGGTTGGAGAAAGAGCAGATCGGGCATACCCAGGTGCCGATGACGAGTGGTGTAGGGTTAGACGATATTGCAGAGGGACGAAACGGACTGGAAGCGCGTGTTGATGGAGTTGAAGAGGACGCAACCCTCTGGAAGCTCGGGGACTGTGACGACCCGCCTTTGCCTATGGTGCCAAACCTTCGTTTCGGTGGCTTTGGAAACAATGTGACCTTTGGGGAGGATTTGAGGAATTTAGCCTTGTTTGAAACAACCCCTTAGCACTTCTTACGTATGGGATAACGGATTTTGTTACCTGGAATTCGTGTTTCTCCACATCTTTGAGATCAACAGCCCATGAATTGGCCCGTGGATCTGCATCGTCGACATAACAAGCGCGGTGAGAGGTCAGATATGCATGACCTTTCTGGCAAGACTTGATCTTGTATTTTCTAGTTAAGGTCAGCCTGTAGATTTTAGTATTTTGGAAGTGCCAGAGCCAGTCTCACCCTTCATACAGCCCAACCCCGTCCTGTACAAATAGAAGGACCTCATCGGGGGACAGGGTCGGGCGCGAGCCAGCGGTCAGATCTGGCTTTTTGAGGAACATCCGGCAGTCTATGCAAACTGGAGTTCATTTTCGAAAGTAAAGACGTCTTTGAAGATGTCTGTCGCTATAAGTCTGGCGTCTGCAACATCTTCCCATTGTGTCATGAAGAGATCAAGAAGGATGACAAAGATAGATATTGAAGGGGAGGTTTTCGCTAACCCATATCGAGTTAGTCACTGTGCCAAGAGATGGTCCTCCTGCGACCACCACGTTGAACGACAACTTCAGGGCTTTCTCTCCCTTTCCTCTCACGGTCTCCTGTTCCTTTACCAAAGCGCCGGCCTCAGCGATTCTCGTCCTGCTCTTGTACCGCCTCGCTCTCTGAGATACTTCTCTTCACTTTCTGCTAAACCTTGCCTCGTATAGCCTTGTACTCCTGGACTCGCTGCCATGTATTCATCTCCTGCTGGCCACCCTCCGTGGCAGACTTCATACCCGTCGCTGAACCACCAGAATCATGCTTACATACCAGTTCCCGCGCGAAATGCCTTTGGCTCCCAGTCGCATCTTCCTCCGCCACCCACCTATACTCCCACTCCATTGCCACCTCAACAATATATGCCCTCACCTCCAACAAACACTGTGTCAAACACTGCACCGCCCCAACCGCAACAGCCAGCACGACAAAAGATAGTCTGGTCTCCAGATGTCCGTGACTATGTCAACCGCTCCTTTGCCAAAGCCGCAGAAATACGGGATGTCTCGAAAGAGCAGATTGAAACAAAACTAAAGGAAATCATCACTGATGCAACTCAGAGTGGCAAGTTGGATACTATCAACTGGAAAGAGCTGCCACTACCGCAACAAATGATTCGGGATGAACGCAGTCGTGCTCTTCTTGCCCCCATATCCCCTCCGTCTTATGTTCCTCCTGTACCTGTTCAAACCGCTTCCACCACTCCTTACCACCCTCAACCGGATGTTCCACGTAAGCGCAAGTCCACGGAACTTTCAGCGGATGGTGAAATTTCTACATCACAACCACCTTGGAGGACGAATGGACGAACTCCCGGATCTCTGGCTGACCGTGTTTCCTTCAACCCATCTGAAAAGCGCCCTAAACTCGACATGAATAAATCCGTAAGTAAAACCCAGGCAAGCCTGGATTCTCGCAGGCGGCGATTCGAGGAGACACGCGCGGGATCGGGTTCACCACGCACACAAGAGTCATCACGGGTTGCTTCACCAGAGCCGAGGATGACTGGACCAATTGTCGGCCGGTCGCAAAAACTCGAGAAGAACTACTTCAGATTGACATCAGCCCCCAATCCTGATGATGTCCGACCTCTGGAAGTCCTCCGCAAAACTTTGGAACTACTCAAGAAGAAATGGCGCACTGAGGGCAACTACGTCTACATTTGTGATCAATTCAAATCACTGCGGCAAGACTTGACCGTCCAACATATCAAAAACGAGTTCACCACCAGCGTCTATGAGTATCATGCTCGCATTGCTTTGGAGAAGGGTGACCTGGGTGAGTATAACCAGTGCCAAACACAGCTACGAGCGCTGTACAAACAGAACCTCGGTGGTCACCCTGTGGAGTTCAAGGCATATCGTATCCTCTATTTTATCCACACGTGCAACCAAACTGACATGAATGACGTGCTCTCTGATCTAACCCCAGCAGACAAGAAGGAGCCAGCAATCAAGCATGCGCTGGAGGTTCGCTCGGCTCTCGCTCTTGGAAATTACCACAAATTCTTCAAATTGTATCTCACCGTGCCCGACATGGGGGCATATTTGATGGATATGTTCGTAGAACGTGAGAGGCTAGCGGCATTGGCGTGTTTGTGCAAAGCGTAAGTCCCCCAATTTCTCTAGCAACATGACTCTGGTCGCTGAACTGCTTGCAGGTACAAACCGGACGTGCGATTGCGCTTCGTCACTGAGGAACTCGGATTTGAGTCGGACGAAGAGGCCTGCCAATTCATCCTCGACCATGTCCCAGACGATTCCTCGAATCTACTTGAAGAACGCGATGGTGATGTCCGCTTTTTAACTGCGAAGGCGGGGAATATCTTTCAGATGGCAAAGATTAGAGCTTTTGGCCAGGTCGACATCAAGGGTCAAATATGAGATACCCATTCAGTTGGTCTCTACGAGGTCCTGGAGACGTTGATATATCTGGTCTTTGACCGCAATCGTTGATGCGACTGTCGGCTTGACATGCACCGTGTTTTCAGCACCTGAAATTCGATTCCCGTTGGGTCGCTTGCATGCCATCTCTGCAGGCATGGAGGCTGTTGCGATTCTTTCTCTTTGGTCAACCTGTGCAGCAACTTTAGCATTGTGCTTTTTGAGGTCAACAAATGACCAGAGGCGGAGTTATTGAGAACTCGAACGTTGCGGGCCGGTTCACTGTTACAGTTATTTTATCCCATAGCCGTTATCGACGGTGAACAGCCTGGGAGATGCTTCGAGGCTCCTCGAAGGATGCGTATGAAGAAGACCTCCGTAGAGGCTTACAAGGACAAAGGGTCTTCTCTGAGATTTACCTTTCTGGAAGTAGTACAAAAGCTGGAAATGGATGTGATTGTTCGACAATTGGTGTAGGATCTGTCATGCAGTCTTTGTTAAACCCTGTCGTTTCAAAGACCTGAGACCTGCGTCGGGGAGGGCGGGAGGCTTGACGTGCAGACCGGGATGAGCGAGCTGAAGAAGGGTACAGGAGAGATGAGGTATTACTCTGATCCACCCAGCTGTGAGGACGAGTACTCGTAGTGGAGTGGAAGGGCTGATGGTTTCGAGTATACATGGCTTTCCTGCAGGGCAATGATTAATGGTTGGAAGTTCCCCCTCTGCCATCAACATGCCGCTAGGTCTAGCTGCACAAAGCACAAAGGGTCGACACGCGAAATGACTGGACGTCGTTGACCTTGTTGAGGACGGACGGCCGGTCAAACGGTAGCGGTTGGGGGGCTCCTTTGTTCTCGAATCTTTTGGTTGTGGATGCTTTGGGAATGGTTTGATGGTTCAAGGGCCAAATGACTGAATAATAGTGGCTGCCATGCGTCTGCGCCCCCCTGTGCCCATGTCATCCCCCATGCCTGCGCCTGCGCCCGTGCCCGTGCCCCTACCCCTACCGAGTACCCATGCCTATGCCCACGTTGCGGGTTGCGTCGACTACGGTACGGGTAGTTAGCTAATTAACGCTTGGAACTCAAGTTCTTTACATTTACATACATACCAAGAGTACCTCGCATACGGACCAGACGCACCAACCTACCCAGTACAGGTACCTCGGAAGTCCGCATGTCCTTCAAATCAGACCATCACATGCCTACCTGTTCTCAGTGAGAGGAGTGGGAGCAAGTCCCAAAGTGAATGATCAATATTCCCAATCTCTGGCCTTCCGTGACTGGCATTTGATGGGCAAAATTTGACTCCCTTTGCAATCTTGAATCCGTGGGGGCCATTGCGGGCTTGAGCCGGAACACTAGGAGGAATCCCTGCTAGACACGCTAGAGGAAACGCACCAGATCTTTTCTCCCTGCCTAAACCTCGTGTGCCGCTGCGCCTGTCCGAACAATCAACGACCTTTCCCCAGCCTGTCAAAACTCCTCCAAAGTTGAAACACATTCTGCCTCATCTTTGCTCCGAACAGTTCAACACCGTCCTAAACCAGTACGAGCCGTTGAAAGCCTCGTTCCACCTTGCCACTTCACATGCAGTCGACCTAGAACCAACAACAACCCCCATTCTCCTAGGAATTTCTATCCAGCCAAGGACGACTGCGGGGCACACGTCAAATGCGACAATGAAGGTATGTCACCGCCCATCATTCACAATGCTGCCCTTGTAAGATCGCAGGCGCTCATGTATCTCTCTCCTTTAGGCTATCCGCCGATCTCTCAAGAGTGACAAGGACACGAGGCAGCCACCAAGTCTCACCATCACCCCCAAGACGATCCAGGCGCTTCCTCCCAAGAAAGTGATAAAAGCCTTATACGACTACGAGCCCAAAAATGGCAATGCGCAAGAGTTGTCCTTCCACAAGGGCGACTTTTTTCACGTCCTGAGCCGCGAGGACGACACAGAGTGGTACGAGGCCTGCAACCCGCTCATCCCCTCGGCGAGAGGGCTCGTGCCGGTGGCCTACTTTGAAGTCGTCGGTAAGAAGCAGCGACAAAGTGAAAACTCTCTTTCATCCCCAGGGGAGAAGATGGATGGTCACGACTCGGGATTTTCAGAGAAAGGCTCGACCAATTCCGGCCACACAAGATCCGAATCAACTGCCACTACAAGACCGAGTCCAGGAGCACACCAGCGAGGGCCGAGTATGACCGGAAGAAACGCGGGCGCCATGGTCTATGGTGTGGTGCAATATGATTTTCATGCGGAAAGGGCAGATGAGCTGGACGCCAAAGCCGGCGAAGCAATCATTGTCGTGGCGCAGTCCAATCCGGAATGGTTCGTTGCGAAGCCGATAGGACGGTTAGGAGGGCCAGGATTGATTCCGGTTTCGTTTGTCGATATTAAGGATACAGCAACAATGCAATCGGTGGCCGACCCCCTTGAGGCTGTCCGGAAAGCAGGCGTCCCTCGAGTTGAAGAGTGGAAAAAGTTTGCAGCGGAATACAAAAACAGCAGTATCAGCCTAGGCAAATTTGACAATCCCCAGGCTCAAATGTCATCCGAGATGGCTCGCATGAGCATTCAAAATACCTCCTCGCAGCAATCACTCCCCAACACAAACTATGTAAGTGGAAGGTCTTGTTGTCCCAATCTAAGAGGTGAGGTTAACCCAGTATCGAATAGAACGGTGCGAGAATGTCGCAGCAGTCGAATATCCCTCTTGCGCCGATCAGCGCTTCAGTGCCCCGTTATTGTTTCGACAACGACATGTACTGGTATATCATCGAATGTCAAATGGAAGACGGTCGATGGTGGGAGCTATCACGATACTACGCTGATTTCTACGACTTTCAGATTGCTTTATTGGAGATGTTCCCCGAAGAAGCCGGCAATAAGGGCAAGCCTCGTACCCTCCCGTTTATGCCTGGGCCGGTAGCACATGTCACGGACGCAATTTCCAACGGTCGACGCCAGAATTTGGACGAATATATCAAAAAGATAGTGGCAATGCCGCCTCACATCTCCAAAAGCATGCTTGTGAGAAATCTATTCAAGCCCAAACCGGGTCAAGATTTTGAAATAGACCCCAATGCGCTAGGCGAGGATTACCGACTATCCGCGGGATCGCAGCAATCGATGCAACCAGTCTCGCGGACGTCCTCTAACCAGCAAGCGCCCGGTATGGCGTACGGAGGTATGCCACCTCCCAGCGCACGAGCGTCCCAGCAACATCGAGGCCCTGTACCCATGTCCACTGGGACCGGCGTGGCCATGGGAGGGCCCCCTTTCCTGCACTCCCAGGCCAGCAATTTGACTCAAAATTCCACCTCCTCAAGCATGAAGGCTAGCAACGCCAACGCTGTTATGAAGGTCAAGGTGTTCTTTCAGGATGACATTATTGTCCTGCGCGTACCTCAGGACATTATATTTGCTGCACTGCGGGAGAAGCTGATGGAACGTCTAAAGGTCAATGAAGATATTGTCATACAATATAAGGACGAGCCAACGAACACTCTGATTGACCTCGAGAACGATGACAACCTCGACGTCGCGCTACAACGGAACCCAAAACTAACACTCTACGTCAATTTTGCGGGCGCTTGAGGGAACGATGTTATTCTTCCGATGATGCCTTCTGAATATTGCCAATGAGCAGTTTCACGAGTCTCAGCGCTGTTTTGCATTGACTCGCAAGCCTTTTCTTACGCGCGACTTACGGAATGAGCGACAGAGCAATTGATGAGACGAATGGTTAATGTGACGATGTTTGGCGCTCCTGGGAGGCGTCCTCGGGTTGATCTTGGAGGAAGACTTTTCCATTTCTCGCAAAAAGTTTCAAGACTTTCGGCCTTGTCTGGAAAGAGGGGAGAGGATATGAAGTTGCTTACGTGGAGTTGAAATCTCTCGAAGTCATTTTTTTGGACGGATCTTTGACAGGTACGCGGCGGCGGCGGCGCGATGAGACATGGATGATGGAAAGCCTTGTGCGCAAAATATAGTCCCTTCTATCACGCGGGTATGCAGGCCAATTTCGGGTCGAGACGATAGTCCTCAGAGGTCTATAGAACCTGCTCTTTGTAATGAATTTCTGCCACCATCTCTATCACTGGTTCAAGACCGCGAGACCACATGTCTTTTGTCTCCACTCTCACGGTCCTAAGATGAGAAAAATAAGATAAAAGGGGGAAAACGGCGGCTGAAAGATCTGACAGTGGTGAGCATCGTGTCTTGACTGACGGCAATAGTTTTCTCGCCGATGGTTGTCCGAGGTGGCCGAGATCACAAACTGCGGTGTTTATTCCGAAGGCGCAAGAGCAATTCGCTCTGACGTCTCTGCACTGCGGCGGATATTCTCTTTATCAATATTATTGTTAATACACCTCCTCGCCATGACTCGGCTGGTCTGTTAGCACAAGGGCGGGTCTGCTCTGTGAAGTTAGGCATTCCTCGTTTGAGCAAGATGAAGCCGCCTGTGCAACCTTTCCGCATCGCCGTTCAGTCCTACGTAAGAGCTCTGCTCTCCGATACCGCAGCCCTGCCGTTAAGGCGGACGATATGCACCAACTGCCTTGACACTCTGCGACGGCAAAGAAAAGCGTTGAGAAGTTCGTCTCGCCAGATCCATGTCGTGGCCAGCAATGGAAGAAGTTCCAGGAGTCTTCGACAGACTGTCCGAGTGCCGAGATCGGTCCAGCGGCACCAGCAGCAGAGACGAGAGCTCGCCAGTGTGACCGATGTTTCCACGCGCGGACCTTTGGAGGAGTATGACGAGAGAGTGCAAACGAGACGACTGCGAGAGGATGAACACCAGAGAAGTGCGTAGACGACGTCGCTCTTTTGTTGTTTCGCGGGTTGAGCTACTCAGACTGACTGACTGGCGTGTCCCCAGCTTTGATTGAACACCTCCAAGACCTGCACGAGACTCTAAAAGAATACAACCCTCCCAAGATCGTCCACCCGGACGTCAACGATCTCCAGCCGCCCAAGAAATCTCTGTTTGGGTCTCTGTTCGGGGGCGGGAACAAGAAGAAGGCCATTGGCGAAATACCAGAGAACCTGCCCAAGGGACTGTACATGTATGGCGACGTCGGTTCTGGCAAGACCATGCTGATGGACCTCTTCTTCGACACGTTACCTCCCAACATCACTTCCAAGACTCGAATTCACTTCCACAACTTTATGCAAGACGTCCACAAGCGATTGCACAAGGTCCGCATGCAGTATGGCAACGATTTTGACGCCGTGCCTTTTATCGCGGCGGATATCGCCGAAACGGCCCAGGTCCTCTGCTTCGATGAATTTCAGGTGGTCGATGTCGCGGACGCCATGATCCTCCGTCGTTTGATCGAGGCTCTGATGTCGCACGGCGTTGTACTGGTCACGACCTCGAATCGACACCCGGACGATCTCTACAAGAATGGGATTCAGCGACAGTCGTTTGTCCCGTGCATTAACCTCCTGAAGAAACAACTCAAGGTCATAAATCTCGATTCCCAAACGGACTACCGCAAACTCCCAAGACCTCCCTCAGGAGTGTACCATCATCCGCTCGATCGAGCGGCCGTCTCTCACGCGAACAAATGGTTCCGTTTCCTGGGCGATCCTGAGAACGATCCGCCTCATCCCACGACAATCACCGTTTGGGGTCGCGAAGTCCAGATCCCGCTCGCCTCAGGCCGTTGCGCCAAGTTTACTTTCCACGAGCTGATCGGTCGCGCTACAGGTGCCGCGGACTACATTGAAATGATGCGCAGTTTTGATGCGTTCATCGTCACCGACGTGCCCGGCATGACTCACAGAGAACGCGACTGGGCTAGGCGGTTCATCACTTTCATCGATGCCGTGTACGAATCGCATGCAAAGCTGGTTCTCACAACCGCAGTGCCTCTCTCTCAGCTTTTTGTGTCCAAGAGTGAGCTGGATGAGTCGCTGAATAAGGTCACCCACAAAGTTCAGAATGACAAATCTGGTGCGTCCAAAGAAGAACATGCTGTCGTCGAAGAGGTCAAAAAATCCACCGAAGGCAGAGGGGCACGCGAGGAGGAAGGGGCGGATGTCGACGACGTGATGCGCAACCTCATGGATGACCTGGGAATGAATATGAGCATGTTGAAGCAAAGCTCCCTCTTCAGCGGTGATGAAGAGCGGTTCGCGTTTGCCAGGGCGCTCAGCCGTCTGAGCGAAATGGGAAGTCAGGAGTGGGTGGAGCGTGGGCTTGGGCTTGAGAAGAGAGGCGGATTGGAGGAGAAGGAGGGCTGGCAAAGGGTCCGGAGCAGATGGAGAGAGGACAGCCTCTGATCGATGTCAAGCGTGCTACAAGTATATGATAGAAAGCGCAACAAGAGCCAAAGATGCGGCTTCGCAAGGCGTCGGAGCCAAAGACGTTGGGTTATTGCTAAGAGGTGCATGCGTATATGGATATCCATTAGCCTGGAATGTCACTGATTGAGACAAAGTTCTTGAGCTTGTGATAAGAGATATACATGTACATGGTATATTTTCAAAGAAACCAAGTACGCGAGGCTCCCAACAAAGGGCTTCAGGTCACCCAGCAGGTCATTATGTGGGCTGTTCACGTGAGACTGAGACCAGAATCGGATCGACGTCGGCGGCTGAGGCCGCGCCATGGCCCATTCAACCCCCATTTCACCCATTGATATCGCATCATCTCCTTGGGACTTCAAAGGACTCCGAAAGCCAAACTAGCATCGACAAGTCCGTCCCTGTGCACACGTTCTACCTTTACCCTACTGCAACCCCGGGTTTGGTTCTACGGGTACAACTCCTAATCAACAGACCTGTCCGTCCTCTTGTCTGTTCTGTACAAAGGAACAAACCAAGCCAGGTTCGCCTGTCAAACACCCCCCCTTGGGATCCATATCCTTTGGGGCCCGTCGGGATCCTCCATGTCGCCGCCAGTCTCCGATGTCTCGCGTTGGTCGCCAGGCCAGCCATGAGCAACAGTTCCCTTAGCGGCCTCTACCAGTCTGCCAATAGTAGCACCTCGACCCTGCGCCCTCGAACCGGTCGTCTGATATCCTACCTGGACGATGAGGGTACTCCTACCCAGTCCACCGCCATATCTACCTCCACGTCCTCTACCCCGCCACTATTCCCCAGCAGAGGCGTCTCCCCCAACGACGCCGCGGTATCGAGGTCCAAGTCGACGGACAGACCGAGGAACGGTCGATCGAGTAAGACACATGCGAGGTCATCCTCGGGCACTTCAACCCCTACCGGAGGAAGTCAGGGGCTGTGGGAGCCATGGACCTCGCTCCAGGGCTTCGCGTCCACGTTATTAGGGAGTGAAGGGGCGGGCCCTTCGAAGGAGAAGGTCGCTGGCTCGTTCAAGAAGTCTCTATGGATGAAACAGGACAACCACTATGGCTCGAAAAGGACCTTGCCACAATGGGGTCCTTCGATTCAGTCCACCACAAATTTCATCCAGGGTAGTGTCGAGGAGCGGCAGGCAATGGTCCAGGCGAAGAAGAGGGAAGCCCTGCTGCTTGCAAGTGCATCAGAGAACCGCGATCGTCTGGGCAAGTATAAGAGACGTGACTCGGACGCGGACTCTGCCACACCGGCTCCCGCGGACCAGAATGAGGATGCGCTTGTTTATATGCACAAAGTTGAGAAAGGGGACACGCTGGCTGGAATCATCATCAAGTACAACTGCCAGCCTGACCTCTTCCGAAAGGTGAATCGGTTCTGGCCAAACGACAACGTCCAAACACGAACGCATGTTTTGGTCCCGCTGGAAGGCTCCACCATCAAAGGAAGGAGAGTCGAGAGTCCATACCTCTCCAAAGATCTCTTTGATCCAGAGTCCGACCGCCTCTCTCCTCAAGATATCCCCGACGCCAAACTGAAGCACCTCGACTCTCCAGCATCCAATGGTGTTCACGGCTCCTCGCGCGCAAACACAACCATTTCCTCTGCTCTGACCTCGGAACCGTTGTCGCTCATCACCTCTCTCTCCGAAGATGTCGAGTTCAAACATGACTGCTGGGTCATGCTACCCAACTTCAAAGAAGCCACTGAGGTCCTTCGCGTGCCCCGTCGTGCATTGGGCTACTTTCCCCGTGCCCGTCGAAAATCGAACGCCACCCTTACAGCCTCGCCGTCGTCCACGCCCAAAACCTCGTTCGATACGCTCCGCCACCCACCCACTCATGCCGCACAGCTTTCTGCCTCGTTAAATGCCTCTCCTGTCCGCCGTCCCAACTTTCCCTCGTCCCGGCTCAGCTCGTCTGGTCGTCAACGCTCTTCCAGTGTCACCGGAGGCAACCCCTTTGCTGAGGCCCTCCGCGGGCCCGGAGGGGTCGGCACCCTTCGCGGTCTTCGCACAGAAGCTTCTCGCCCGGGGCCAGCAGAGGACCCATTGAATCGCAAATTCAACCAATATTTCCCAGACTTCCTGCCACCACCTGGGGAAATCCCCCGGACGGGCTTCAGTGCGAAAATATCCACGTCCCGATCCACGCCCCGCGCGAGCTCCGAGTCTGTACGAAGCCTACGCTCCAACTCAAATAGCGCGGGTCTGACCAGTGACGTCGGCGGCGCGATCGAAGGGTGGATGAGGAAGATGGCTGGCGCGGGAGCAA